CCCCACAAAAAACCTGGAGGTTGGCAGCTTCTGGGGAGGTTCTATAAAGTTCACTAGCCCCCAGCGATTTTTTAAAAAAATATTTGTGGTAAGATAGAAATAACATAAAACTTACCACCTGAACTATTTTTAAATGTAGTTGACTGGGGTTCAGCACACCCACATTGTTGGGCACCCACCTCCAGGACTCTCCATCTTGCACAACTGAAACTCTATCCATGAAATAAACTTCCTGCCCCCTCCCCCAGCCCCTGGCAACCCCGTTCTGCTTTCTGTCTCTCTGAGTTGGACTGCTCTGGGTATCTCACGTAAGTGGAATCCCACCGTATTTGTTCTGTTGTAATCGGCTTGTTTCACTTAGGATAATGTCCTCAAGCTTCATCCTAATGGTTGGGCCATGTGGGAATTTCCCTCCTTTTAAAGGCTGAATAGGAGGACGTGTTCTACCCAAATCAGAGAAAGGCGAGGGGCTTCCGGGAACCCGCAGTCAGTCAGCAGCTTTGTGGCAGAGCCAGAACAACCAAACTCTGCTCATTTAGGAAAGAGGAAAAGGTGGGGAAGAAATCCAGAAGTCTGACTTTATGCGTGAAACCATACTAAGGCATTTTAGAAAGGCTTGCGGGTGTGGGAAGGGCTGACTTGAAAGAAAACTAAGCGTAGTTTTAAATGAAGCCATTATTAACTCTATTTTTTTAAGTTGTAGAAAAACAGAAATGCTATTGTTGCAAATTATTTGGCTTCTCAAGAGTCACAGTAATAAAAACAATATGCAATATGAAAGCAACCTAAGTATCCATCAACAGGTAAATGGATAAAGATAATGGTATATATGTACACAATGGAATAGTACTCACATAAAAAAGAATGAAATTCTGCCACTTGCAACAACATGGATGGACCTGGAGGGCTTTATGCGTAGTGAAGTAAGTCAAAATGAGACTCTCTGCGGGGCTGGGGAAGGAGTGGTGAGCTCGCCCCCCAGCACCTCTCCAGCTGTGTCTAGCCCCGTCCACACTGGACTTTAACTCCAGGAGCTGTATTCAAGGAGGGGACTACCTCAACCTAGGGACAAGTGTTAACCTTCACCCACACAACTGCCAATGTTTGTTCAACCCTGTGCCCGGAGAGTAGGTTGTGTATTCACTCACTGAACCCCTTTGGACCACAGCATGCCAGGTGTGAGGGACCCAAGGGACAGTGAGACAGAATAACAGCTCCCTGATCTCAGACACACAGTTTAGCTGGAGGAGAAAGACCTGGAAACAAACAAGTACAGTCAAGTATGTGGTGTCTAAAAACAGAAGCATAGGCGGGGACCTGACAGGGACAGGAAGAGATCTATTCTGTGTGTAGCTCTGGTGACAGAGAAACCAAGCCCCTTGACCCTAAACCCCAGAGCCAGAGAAGCATCCATGTCACCCCAATTCTGCACTGCCCCCAAGTAGGGGGTGGTCCATGGGAGAGGTGGTCTGAGGATGACCTCGGAGGTATTGGAGGTGCAGAGCAGGAGAATCCAGAACCTGTCACCCAGCAGAGCTGGGGGGGGGGGGAAGATAGGCAGACACCCCCCCACCAAACACTTCAAATCATTTGTGTAGCTGAGATCCTGTTGGGTGCTGGGAGTTCACAGTTGGGTCTTAAACTACATGTAGAGAATAACTCAGGCTGTCTTCTAACGGAAAGCACATTTAAATGCATCACCTAACAACATGAGGACAGCATAAGCCCAGCCGGCTGCCAGAGGTCCCAGGGCCGCGGAGGCAGAGGGTGGGAATATCATCACTGAGGGATGAACACCTGCTGCTCTTCCTACAGCCTAGTGGTTAGAGACCTGGCTCTCCCATGTGCTGGCTCAGACCACTCTGGGCATTATGACTCCATTACGTCTCTGTGCCTCGATTTCTTCTTCTGTAGAATGGGGACCGTGGCAATGCAACAGTTCAACCTCATAGGGTCACTGTGTGGGTCATCACAGTGGCTGGACACAAAGTAAGCCCTAACCAAACAAATCCCCACTATTGCCAGGACCAGTGTGGCTTCACTGATGTATTTTACTCTTTATTCAGTCCCATTTACACCAGGAATCAGCTATATGGGGGCCAAAAAAAAAGCTGGGACAAATCAGTGGGAGGTAAGCAACCCTGCAAAGAGAATTGGGGGAGAAAAAGGGGAGATAGATGGGGAGATGGGGGAGGGTAAGGGCATCTTCCATCCTTCAGTTCACAGAAACAGGCTTCAAGAACCACCATGAGCTTTGGCATGTCTGGTAACCACTGTTCTCTGGGACTTTAAAACTCCAGATGTGCACCTAAGGCAAGAAAAGCATTTTTCCTCTAGGCATGCTTTGTGGTGAGGATCTGTTTGCTAGGGTTGATAAAGCCACCCAAACTACCCCCCCAACCCCGCCCCGGGCCTGGTTTCCTCACCGTAAACAAGG